TAGCGGAGCTCACTGCAGGGACACTTTTACCGGCTGATCGGGAAATGTTCGATTCGCGCACCCGAAGTAGGCAAAATTTCGGATTCGACGCGAATCGAATATTTCCTGAAATTCGACTCGAATTCCGGTTCGCCTGGTTCGATTCGCTCATCTCTAGTAGCCACACAATGAAGACTCTCCACAAAGCAAAGGTAAAAAAAACCAGACTGAAAACCAAGATCAGACTCGTCCACGCACTCATCCTCTCAGTTACGGAGGTGAAAGCCGGACACATCGGAAACAGGACAGAAGAAGATCGACTCGTTTGAGGTTTGGTGCTGGAGAAGGATTTTATGCGTGCCGTGGACTCCCATAGAACTAACAGATCCATTGTGGAAGAGATCAAACCGGCTACGTCACTGGAAGCCCCAAATGATGACGTTACGACTGTCCTATTCTGGTCACACTGGAGAGATAGTTCCATAGTTAGTCTGGCTGCAAAAAGACAAAAGTCCATCCAGGTTCAACCATTAAAGAAAGGTTCTAATCCTACACCCACAGATGGTCCAGAGGAAGGCTGAAAACCCAACAAAGCACGACCACTTGAGAAGGAAATCATGTTTGGGAAGGTTGAAGGAACCAGACAAGAGGGAGACCGACTACTAGGTGGTGGGACACATTGACTACAGCTGTGGGGATGACACTGGAGGATCTCACCACACTAGCACAAAGCCGACTTCTTCTTGGATCTCCCATTCATCGAGTCGCTAGGACTCAGACTCAGGTTGATGGCACATAACTAATAATACTGATCAGGTGTATGGAGCAAGACCCTTTCCCACACACAGTAATTCAAAGAGAACAACGTCTCGATGAAGGCAACCTGGACCAGAAATGGTGCAACTGTGAAGTTCTCCAGAAACCCAAGGGGAACATATCAGGCTTTACCAATTATTGGATGCAGATAGGCAAGTTCTCAAACTGTCTCACACTAGTTACACCCAGGGGCGGACTGACCATTTGGAAACTCGGGCACTGCCCGAGGGCCCGGGGTCAGTAGGGGGCCCCATGAGATGCCCCTGGTACCTTTTTTCATAGGTTTTTTTGAGTTTGGGCAAGGACACAGGGGCTCCATGATCCCCTATTGCCCGGGGGCCCCATGAGTTGTCAGTCCGCCCCTGGTTACACCCACCAATTTCAGCACCCCAAACCCGGGTCTCCGATTCCCGATTCTTCATGAGAGTCTGAGAGAAATGGGCCAGCAGCAAGAACCGGGAAATGCTGGCCAAATCTTATCTGCCATTCAAAGCCGGTCCTTTACTGTTCGATGAAAATGTGTCACTGCCAAATGTACCGGGAGAAAACCCTACTGCATACAGATTGGGGGAATCGGATTGGGGGGAATCGGATTGGGGGAATCAGATTGGGGGGAATTGGATTAGAGGAATCAGATTGGAGGAATCAGATTGGAGGAATCAGATTGGGGGGAATCAGATTGGGGGAATCAGATTGGGAGGAATCAGATTGGGGGAATCAGATTGGGAGGAATCAGATTGGGGAATTGGGGGAAACAGATTGGGGGAATCAGATTGGGAAGAATCAGACTGGGGAATTGGGGGAATTGGAGGAATCAGATTGGGGGGAAAAGGGTTGGGAGGAATCAGATTGGGGGCAAACGGGTTGGGAGGAATCAGATTGGGGGGAATCAGATTGGGAGGAATACGATTGGGGGGAATCAGATTGGGGAGAATCAGATTTGGGGAATCAGATTTGGGGAATCAGACTGGAGGAACTGGATTGTGGAATTGGGGGGGAAACAGATTGGGGGGAATCAGATTTGGGGAATCAGATTGGAGGAACTGGATTGGGGAATTGGGGGAAACAGATTGGGGGAGTCGGATTGGGAGGAATCGGATTGGGGGGAATCAGATTGGGGGGGAATCAGAATCAGATTGGAGGAATCAGATTGGGAAGAATCAGATTAGGGGGAATCGGATTGGGGGAATCGGATTGGGGGGAATCAGATTGGGGGGGAATCAGATTGGGGGAATCAGATTGGGGAATTGGGGGAAACAGATTGGGAGAAATCGGCTTGGGGGGAATCGGATTGGGGGGAATCAGATTGGGAATAATCAGATTGGGGGGAATCAGATTGGGGGGAATCGGATTGGGGGGAATCTGATTGGGGGAATTTGATTGAGGTAATCAGATTGGGGGGAATCGTATTGGGGCAATTAGATTGGGGGGAATTAGATTGGGGGAATTGGATTGGGGGAGTAGAATTGGGGGGAATCGGATTGGGGGAATCAGATTGGGGGAATTCGGATTGGGGCAACGAGATTTGGGGGAATCAGATTGGGGGGAATCGGATTGGGGGAATCAGATTGGGGGGATCAAATTGAGGGGAATCGGATTGGGGAAATTGGATTGGGAGAATCAGATTGGGGGGAATCAGATTGGGGGAACCAGATTGTGGGGAATTTGGATTGGGGGGAGGAATCGGATTTGGGGGAACCAGATTGGGGGGAATTGGATTTGGGGGAACCAGATTGGGGGGAATTGGATTGGGGGAATAAAATTGGGGGGAATCGGATTGGGGAATCAGATTGGGGGGGAATTGGATTTGGGGGAACCAGATTGGGGGGAATTGGATTTGGGGAAACAGATTGGGAGGAATCGGATTGGGGGAATCAGATTGGGGGGAATTGGATTTGGGGGAACCAGATTGGGGGGAATTGGATTTGGGGGAGCCAGATTGGGAGGAATTGGATTGGGGGAATCAGATTGGGGGGAATCGGATTGGGGGAATCAGATTTGGGGGAATTGGATTTGGGGGAAGCAGATTGGGGGGAATTGGATTTGGGGGAACCAGATTGGGGGGAATTGGATTGGGGGAATCAGATTGAGGGGACAATGTCTCGGTGAGGGCAACATAGACCAGAAATGGTGCAACTGTAAAGATCTCCAGAAACCCGGGGGGGGGGGGGGGGGGCATATCAGGCTTTGCTGCATATCAGTGTAGTGCTACCCCTGCGGGAGGCTCTGCTTATGTTGGGTCCTCTGTTCTTACCTTGATCTTGGCAAAGCCCTCAACACCGCCGACATTTCCGGTCTGCATGTCAGTAGGTAGAAATGAATAATTGTCGGTAATCTCTTGGGGTCGCCGTGAAATGAGACTCGACACGTTGTGGCGAAGTAACAAAGTATATTGTCAGAGTATGGTCAGACAAGCAGAGTATAGGAGGAGGACTTCCTCGTAGTGTACGCTATAAGAAGGCTTCGCTTGAGTGCTACCTTACGTTCCAACCAAACCACCATAAACTGCAGATCTACGGAATACAAGAGCGGCATGGGGCCCCGACAGAATGGTACCAAGGCAGGAGAGGACTAAGGAGGAACCTGGACCTTCTGGAATCAGAGGAACATGAAGATGTTATAAATTGTGCTCATAGCAGTAAGTTGTGTACAGTCTTTAGGGTAAGTCTTCTGCCGGCTAAGTTGGGGCCCTTGAAGATGTTGGCATGTTTGTTGAAGGGGGGGGGGTATCCCTGCAAATAATGAGACAATGGACTCCTTGGAGCTCTGGCAGGAGAGTGGCCAGACAAGGGGTAACACTCTGGTGACTTACTATACATTCTGTACCCGGCAGGACTATCAGTGTTCATTAGCCGGCAGATGGGATGTCAAGAAAGGTGAAGGACAATGAAGTTCACCAGGCGATTTGGCACAAGGTCACCAGAATACCTGAATCTGTCGTTTGTACCCGGTCCCTCTTCAGTGTGACCCCCTAAACACCCTGAAATTCGGCACAGCATGTACATTTCTATGTCGGAGCTGTGGCACCCCTCCACCCCTCTCCTGTGTCCTTCAAAACAAAAACCTCTCTATAGGTCACGTGCCGTATAAAAATGGTGGGCACGCAGGCTATGAAACATTAGACGTGATGAGGGGATTCCAAGGGTCCGCAATTCTATGTGATACCAGGAGCTGTATCAGAGGAGAAGCTCTGGAATTGTCTCCTTCAGACCTGACCACGTATGGCATGCTGTACACAGGTAGTGGCCACACAAAGTTTAAATTCTTCCTCATGTGTCCTGACTGTTAGAACCATAGGGAACCCTCAAGCTGCCTTTCCATTGGAGTTACATGATCTGACCAGTTTAGATGCAAAGAGTGCCAAGCAAGAGTTCTTCCAAGTCCTCAAGCTTCACATATGGTGACATGGCTCCTGGTTTCTTCGAGAAGCAAAAAATAAGAAGTAAAAGACGATTAAATACGAAAAAACGAGACACTGTGATAAAAAATGTCTCCTGATCTGAGAAGAATTTGCATAGTTCTGTCCTGTCTTTAAACCTCAACAATCTCAGGTGGTGCCACAGAAAACACGAGACATCTTCTCACATTCCAGGAATGTTCTGAGGTGCCAACAGAGGAGCAGATGGAACCATTGAAGTCATTGCTGGAGGTGTCTGAAATATCAAGCTCTGTCTGGGCTCTCTTTGGTCCAATGAACATTTTACGTAAGGAACACATAGAAGATTCTGTAATGTTGGTCCTTGTGGTCTATGTAGGTTGTGGTTCTTCAGGACAAAGTCACGTGATCTGAGATCAACAGAAGGAGGCCACAGTGACCAGATCATACTCTTGGAGGCTTTTTCTTTTTACAGTAAGAAGCATGGACTCTTCTTTATTACGGGGCTGACAACGGCTCTCACTGACTCTGAGAAAACGTCTTGGATGCCTTCTCGGTTCAGCGCTGAGCACTCCATGTACTTCACTGCGTGGATCTGCTTGGACAAGCTGACGCCTTGTTGGTAGGTGATTGGAAGCTGCTTCTGCTCCTTTAGCTTTTTGATGACATCCGGGTTGCTTCTCAGATCCTTCTTGGTGCCCACCAGGAGGATGGGAACGTTAGGACAATGGTGGCCCACTTCAGGATACCACTTGTGCTTTACGTTCTCGTAAGATGGTGGATTGGCAATGGAGAAGCAGATGATGAAGACATTGGTCTGGGGGTAAGACAATGTCCTTAGTCGGTCATACTCTTCCTGGCCGGCTGTGTCCCACAAGTTTAGGCTCACGGTTTTTCCATCCACAGTCATCCTGGGCACTGTAGTTGTCAAACACCGTGGGGATATGTCCATCAGGGAAGGTATTGGTGGTGTAACAGATGAGAAGAGAAGTCTTCCCTACAGCTCCATCCCCGACTACCACACACTTGATGCTCTGCATGGTTTCCATCGTGTCCAATCTCAGCCACCTGGAAAAGAGACCCAAGTCAGATGTACGAAACGTCAACATCGAACATATCTGTCAAGGACCCGCCTCCCTACAACCAATCCTTCATATAGGCGGGGGCTGGACAACCAGCTGGTCTCCGTATCATGGTCAGGGACACCGACACCAAGATCTCCATGAATTGAATTGTATGGTCGGTGTCCTGTCTGCCCTCGCGGGGGGTAAATCGCTGTGCAGACTGTTGGCGCCCATCACATCCTGGATGATAGTCACAATGATTCTAATCTTCGCCCCAAAACAGAGTCTCACTCCTCTAGTAGAAGTCAGTCATGTGAATAGAGGAGAACCCCAACTCTTCAAAGAGAGGAGAAACCCCAACTCTTCATAGTGAGGAGAACCCCAACTCTTCAAAGAGAGGAGAACCCCAACTCTTCAAAGAGAGGAGAACCCCAACTCTTAATAGTGAGGAGAACCCCAACTCTTCATAGTGAGGAGAACCCCAACTCTTCAAATAGAGGAGAAACCCCCAACTCTTCAAAGAGAGGAGAACCCCAACTCTTCAAAGAGAGGAGAACCCCAACTCTTAATAGTGAGGAGAGGAGAACCCCAACTCTTCAAATAGAGGAGAACCCCAACTCTTCAAAGAGAGGAGAACCCCAACTCTTCATAGTGAGGAGAACCCCAACTCTTCAAAGTGAGGAGAACCCCAACTCTTCAAAGAGAGGAGAACCCAACTCTTCATAGTGAGGAGAACCCCAACTCTTCAAAGAGAGGAGAACCCCAACAACTCTTCATAGTGAGGAGAACCCAACTCTTCAAAGTGAGGAGAATCCCAACTCTTCATAGTGAGGAGAACCCCAATTATTCCAAGTGAAGAGAACCCCAACTCTTCAAAGTGAAGAGAACCCCAACTCTTCATAGTGAGGAGAACCCCAACTCTTCAAAGTGAGGAGAGAACCCCAACTCTTCATAGTGAGGAGAACCCCAACTCTTCAAAAGAGAGAGGAGAACCCCAACTCTTTCATAGTGAGGAGAACCCCAACTCTTCATAGTGAGGAGAACCCCAACTCTTCATAGTGAGGAGAAGATTCCACCACAACGACTTCAGCTTGTAGCTGGGAAATCAGAGTTTGTAGAAGATTTTACCGCCCCCCATCCATCAGACCCTGGAACATGCATTCTGATAAAGCCGATGTTCATATAGTAGATGTAGACATCTAAATAGGGTTCCTATAAGCCCCCCCCGCCTGCAGACCCCCAAATCCACAGCTCAGAGTGGTGGGGATGAGGACCTTGTCCTCACCTACATGGGGACAATGGGCTTGGCTGAGATGGGGGTCACCCTGGCGGGGCCCCTCCCCATGTTGAGGGTGTGTGCTCTGGGATGGTTCAGGGAGGGGGGTGCACGCTCGCCCTCCCCCCTTCTTGGCCAGCCAGGCTACATGCTCAGATTTAGGGTCTGGTATGGATTTCCTGGGGGGGCCGCAGACATTGTGCCCCTCATGCTATTTTTTGACACCCCCTTTCCTGTTAGCCCAGAAAATGGGTATTTTTTATCTGACAAATTCGTCTCCCAATTCGTCTGACCGAACCCAGAAGAGCTCGGCTCCTCCCAATCCTGATCCCCAGTTCTAGATTGGAAGACGTTCCAGAATCTGGGAGTGACGAGAATTCCCATCCAGGCAGCCAATCATCATCAGTGGGATCCAGGCCACGCCCCTCAATACAGGACACCGCCTTCTACACACCAGTTGACTGCAATACTACTACCACTGAGTACTACCACCACTGAGTACTACTACCACCACTGAGTACTACTACCACTGAGTACTACCACCACTGAGTACTACTACCACCACTGAGTACTACTACCACTGAGTACTACTACCACTGAGTACTACTACCACTGAGTACTACCACCACTGAGTACTACCACCACTGAGTACTACTACCACTGAGTACTACTACCACTGAGTACTACTACCACTGAGTACTACTACCACTGAGTACTACTACCACTGAGTACTACTACTACCACTGAGTACTACTACCACTGAGTACTACCACCACTGAGTACTACTACCACTGAGTACTACCACCACTGAGTACTACTACCACTGAGTACTACCACCACTGAGTACTACTACCACTGAGTACTACCACCACTGAGTACTACCACCACTGAGTACTACTACCACTGAGTACTACTACCACTGAGTACTACTACCACTGAGTACTACCACCACTGAGTACTACTACCACTGAGTACTACCACCACTGAGTACTACTACCACTGAGTACTACTACCACTGAGTACTACCACCACTGAGTACTACTACACCACTGAGTACTACCACCACTGAGTACTACTACCACCACTGAGTACTACTACCACTGAGTACTACTACCACTGAGTACTACTACCACTGAGTACTACCACCACTGAGTACTACTACCACTGAGTACTACTACCACTGAGTACTACTACCACTGAGTACCACCACCACTGAGTACTACCACCACTGAGTACTACCACCACTGAGTACTACTACCACTGAGTACTACCACCACTGAGTACTACTACCACTGAGTACTACCACCACTGAGTACTACTACCACCACTGAGTACTGACCACCACTGAGTACTACCACTGAGTACTACCACCACTGAGTACTACCACCACTGAGTACTACTACCACTGAGTACTACTACCACTGAGTACTACCACCACTGAGTACTACTACCACTGAGTACTACCACCACTGAGTACTACTACCACCACTGAGTACTACTACCACTGAGTACTACCACCACTGAGTACTACTACCACTGAGTACTACTACCACTGAGTACTACTACCACTGAGTACTACCACCACTGAGTACTACCACCACTGAGTACTACCACCACTGAGTACTACTACACCACTGAGTACTACTACCCACTGAGTACTACCACCACTGAGTACTACCACCACTGAGTACTACCACCACTGAGTACTACTACTACCACTGAGTACTACTACCACTGAGTACTACCACCACTGAGTACTACTACCACTGAGTACTACCACCACTGAGTACTACTACCACTGAGTACTACCACCACTGAGTACTACTACCACCACTGAGTACTACTACCACTGAGTACTACCACCACTGAGTACTACTACCACCACTGAGTACTACCACCACTGAGTACTACCACCACTGAGTACTACCACCACTGAGTACTACCACCACTGAGTACTACTACCACTGAGTACTACTACCACTGAGTACTACCACCACTGAGTACTACCACCACTGAGTACTACCACCACTGAGTACTACCACCACTGAGTACTACTACCACTGAGTACTACTACCACTGAGTACTACCACCACTGAGTACTACTACCACTGAGTACTACTACCACTGAGTACTACCACTACCACCACTGAGTACTACTACCACTGAGTACTACTGACCACTGAGTACTACCACCACCACTGAGTACTACCACCACTGAGTACTACCACCACTGAGTACTACTACCACTGAGTACTACCACCACTGAGTACTACTACACCACTGAGTACTACCACCACTGAGTACTACCACCACTGAGTACTAGTACTACCACCACTGAGTACTACTACCACTGAGTACTACCACCACTGAGTACTACCACCACTGAGTACTACCACCACTGAGTACTACCACCACTGAGTACTACTACCACCACTGAGTACTACCACCACTGAGTACTACCTACCACCACTGAGTACTACCACCACTGAGTACTACTACCACTGAGTACTACTACCACTGAGTACTACCACCAGTACTACCACCACTGAGTACTACCACCACCACTGAGTACTACCACCACTGAGTACTACTACCACTGAGTACTACCACCACTGAGTACTACTACCACTGAGTACTACCACCACTGAGTACTACTACCACCACTGAGTACTAACCACCACTGAGTACTACTACCACTGAGTACTACCACCACTGAGTACTACTACCACTGAGTACTAGAGTACTACTACCACTGAGTACTACTACCACTGAGTACTACTACCACTGAGTACTACCACCACTGAGTACTACCACCACTGAGTACTACTACCACTGAGTACTACCACCACTGAGTACTACTACACCACTGAGTACTACCACCACTGAGTACTACTACCACCACTGAGTACTACCACCACTGAGTACTACTACCACCACTGAGTACTACCACCACTGAGTACTACTACCACCACTGAGTACTACTACCACTGAGTACTACTACCACCACTGAGTACTACTGACTACCAGTACTACTGAGTACTACTACTGAGTACTACCACTGAGTACTACCACCACTGAGTACTACTACCACTGAGTACTACCACCACTGAGTACTACTACCACTGAGTACTACCACCACTGAGTACTACCACCACTGAGTACTACTACCACCACTGAGTACTACCACCACTGAGTACTACTACCACTGAGTACTACACTACCACTGAGTACTACTACCACTGAGTACTACCACTACTACCACCACTGAGTACTACCACCACTGAGTACTACTACCACTGAGTACTACTACCACCACTGAGTACTACTGACCACTGAGTACTACCACCACTGAGTACTACTACCACTGAGTACTACTACCACTGAGTACTACTACCACTGAGTACTACTACCACTGTGAGTACTACTACCACTGAGTACTACTACCACTGAGTACTACTACTACCACTGAGTACTACTACCACCACTGAGTACTACCACCACTGAGTACTACTACCACTGAGTACTACTACCACTGAGTACTACCACCACCACTGAGTACTACTACCACTGAGTACTACTACACCACTGAGTACTACCACCACTGAGTACTACCACTGAGTACTACTACCACTGAGTACTACTACCACTGAGTACTACCACCACCACTGAGTACTACTACCACCACTGAGTACTACCACCACTGAGTACTACCACCACTGAGTACTACT